AGGTTTGGTAGTTTACCAAAACTTGCCTCTCCTATATTAAGTCTTAAACTGGTAAAATATAAGTCATTGCAAATCAGTGAGGTAACAGGAGGTTGTATGGCTGTGCTGCTGTAGTAGCAGGCTGCTTTTATTTTGTAGAGTTAGGGAAGGGTGTGAGGAGAGAAGCAGCAGGAGCTGCCTCTGGTGTTTCTTCTATAGCTGTTCTTAACTTCCCTTTCTGCCCTCATACACTGCAGACAGCCTATTTTAAGGTGCACAGATGTTTCTACTACTCTAGTCCTTGGTAGTTGCTTAAGTGGCTTCTTAGAGCAGCTGTTCCCTTGTTTATGTCTCTGACGTTCATTTAGTTGCAGTTCTTTTTTTTTTGGTGATGGGAAGATGAAAAAACCCCATGTGCTGATGCTCTGTTCTTTAGCCTTTATCAATTGTGTCATCACTGGTGTCCTACCCTTCTGCAGGGGAGACATTTCCATTGTAGCTGGAGCCCAGTGTTGTCCTTCTCTGTCCCAATTTTGCTGTCAGCAGGGTGATTTCACCAAATGTGATGATGAGAGTAAGAAGATTTGCTGTAGGATTCAACTAAGAGTTTAATAAAATTTGCCTGTGGTCTCTCATCTTTCATCCTAGCAGTCAAGTGCTTGCGCCACATGGTTTGATGTGCATGTCCCTCATAGCCTATTCAGGCTTCCTGCTTTGCTCTTTGCCATTAAATTGATTTTCAGACTTGCTCAGTAGTGTGCCAGTTCTCTGATCTTTGCCATTGCTACTGCCTTGCTTCAGAGGTGCAAATTAGAAGCTGGTGGCATGAAAGAGGGAGGTGGAGCAGTGTATTGTTTCTGTCCAGAAGAACAGAGAGCTGTGGGAAGAGCAGGATTTAACAGTTACTGGGACAGCAAGGGGGAGAGCTGTTCTGGGAATTTACTTTCACTTGAAAAAAATGCTATTTCCCGGGTTGTGAAATTCAGGAAGTGATGTACATGCTATGACTAGCAATTGTAATTTGTTTTATAACAGGTGAAAACATTCTGGATATATATCGTGAAAAGTCATGAAGTGCAGAAAATTAATTGACCTATTTGATTTTGGCTAAGTTGTTTACATTTATTCTTTACTAGCTAAATGGAATATCTTTATACATTGTGTTAGTAAAATAACAAAGGGTAGATAAAAGATTACAAATAGGAAACTTTATAATGCACAAAACTTCCTAAGAAGAAGCAAATTAGGCAGCTCTGGGTCTGTCTGTACTGTTCTAGAAGGTTGTGTAGATACTTGATAGGTACATCTCGCTTCAGAAGCTTTGGTATCAGATTGCAAGACTACAAAGAACAATTCTATCAAAACTAGCTTTGTGAACAGTTCTTTAAGATACCTGTTCAGTTTGGTATTTGCTTGTATATTGTGCTTAACAGTTCAGTGCTTTTCTATTAACTGCATGTTCTCTACCCATCAGTAGGCATAATTACCACTAATCAAGACCCCTAATCTCAAGCAATTATAAGCTCTTACATTGTTCTAATTGCACATTTGAAAATAATGTCATTTTCTCATAGAATTATGAGATGATCCATACAATTAATTTCTGCTTTTCTTTTTATCTGATCCGTGTTAATTTTGTGTGACCTCACAATGTGTTATCTGAAAAATGCCTTTGAGACTTGCAGTTTTTCTGGTTAATTTACAGTTGTGTTTCATATTCAGTAAGAAGTGATACAGTGCAACAAATTTTCAAGGCTGTGCTTTCAACCTTCTATGAACTGAAAAATTTGTTGTATATTATGAACTTGTTGGCGAAACAGAAGTGCAATTATCCATTTAAATCATCTACTATTTGTAAATGCAGGTGCTTGCTCTTTGAATAGTACTTAGGTTACTGCAGTATGTAAAAGGGGTTTATTTTGGTTTTTTAATTGTTAAATTGGAATTTACATGCAGACAGACAGACTTTCTCAATCAGCTTTCCAGGCAGCAAAAATGAAGGCAGTTCATTTTCAGAAAGTACTGCAAGCCCTGGGGGCAGGATATAAGCGATTGTTCACTAGTTGAAGTTGGTCTCACTTGTTGCTGTGTAGTTCTGCACACCTTTTGTGTGCCAGGCCATTGCATGAGTGTGTTTTGAACAAATCATCGTCAGTCTGTTGATTCATCTCAGGAACCAAATGCAGCACTTGCATCTGTAAATGGAGTAATTGTAAACCTCTCATTCTTACAGACAGAATTTCTTCCTGTTACAATTCTAAAATTAGACCCCAGATCTTTTACTGTGGACCTACACTGGCTTGTATTTATTTCTACATTCTTACTTGTAACATCACTAAAAATAGCAGATGATTCGGCGACCTTTGCTACCTGTGTCTGACCTTCATGATTCACTTGTGGGTAATTTGCTGCTGCAATTACTATGGTCCTGTCTCTGATGTTATTTAAACACTGGTTTAAATGACTGCAGTGTAAATGAGCAGCCACATTGTTGGGGACAACATGTTTTTCTTTATTGTAAGAAAATAATATTTACATCAGGGGGTGAGTGCCACATCATTTTCGAGGGATCTTGACATTCCTGGAGAAGAAATGCTGGAGATTTTGCTCTGTCATAAATAGCCCAACTTTCTTCCTTTTAATAGGGTGTGTGTTTCTGAAATCGTTCTGGGGCTGCAGTCTACTGCAGTGGGTTCATTTCATTATTCCTTTGAAAGTAAGGAAAGGCACAGAGCCAGCTCCTTCTGTGCAGAAGAGTTCAAGGTTTAATATGCTAATGTATCTACCCAATATTAGGCTGCAAAAATCCTTGGCTTTGATGTGTCTTTAATAGTAATAAAATGGTTGGCTAATGATAAATTAAGGATGTAAGCTTGGGAATTAAAAAAAATTAATCTAGGCAGAAATAATTTTCCTTGCCAAGATAATTGTCATACTGGAACTGCAGTTTGCAGTGGAAGTTCATTGCTTTATAATAATCAAAATAGGCAATCAAACTTCTGGCTTTTCTTTAGGCTTCACATTAAAGCTGGACATTAATGGGACAGAGTGGGGACTGCATTTTACCTTTGCTGGCCTGGAGCTGTACATGCCAAGGTACTGAACCCCCAGGTCTCACTGTTTTCCAGAGAGCAAAGATAAAAATCTGCTTGCCATCCTCTCTCTAATTTGTCACCTATTTCAGTGCTGGGCTGGCTCTTGTGCTGCTGCAGTCTCCTGTAGTGTCATGTTTGCATCTGCATAAGAGAGAGCAAACCAGGACTTACTCAGGGATAGGTAATGCTTTTCTAATACAAAAATACTAATGAATTAAGGAGCTTTTATGGTAAATCTGTTTTGTAAAGCATTTTATTATTCTTCACTACTCACTGGACTGCCCGGTATAGTTTTGTTCAAGCACAAGTTTAGGTTAAACAGGGAAAATAAATGTTTCTGGTCACTGTAATAATGCTCCCCCTCTGAGAGAGCACATTTTTCTGCATATTTTTATACCTGTTTGTACAGAGGAATAGATGGAAAAAGGGAGAGCTGTTCTCTACAGAAACTCATAAAAAGGAAAGTCATGCAGCATCAAGAAGGAATTCTACAGAAAATCAGCAGTCTAAGGGCCTTGAGCCAACCTTAACTTAAATCACATCTCTTGATGATCAGGGCAAAGACTGTTCTGTAAGTTTCTTCTGCACAGTATCAAAGGTTTTTTGTTGGTCATAGGACCCTAGAGCATCTTAAGTGGCTTAAGGATATCTGCCTATAACACTCACCTGAATAAATAGCTGCATTCTCAAAGGAAGGAGTGGGATGATTTTTTTTTTTAATAGCTGGTGAAGGAATAAATAAACAGCAAAAAGGGGTACTTCAGTAAAGCAAAATATATTTTTTATAAATATGTCTTCTCGTTGACTTATTTTTATTTCAAGTGGAAGAGATATGGTACTCACAATTTAGTGCTTGTTTTGGGGGACAGGAAATGATTAAGAGGAAGAACTTACTCAGCAAGCCAGAGCACTTATGGGTGGTTATCATCACATCTGCAGTCTGACTGTTCTTCTCCCTCTACAGCCAACCTGTCACATATCACTGACCTGATTCATAAGAGAGAGCTCCCCTTGAGGCTTCCTGTCTCTCCATTTCATCCAGGGCTGGATTGGCTGGAAGAGCCCCAGCCCCAGCGTCTGCAAGCCATCAAAGCTGGCTGCTGAGGCTGCCACCAGCCTGCTGTTCTCTCTTGGCCTTCAGCAGATGGAGCTTCTCAAGTCCTGTGTGTTTTCATCTGCTTCTCTCCACGCTTGGAAACACTGCCTTTTTTTTTCTGCCTGGTGTTTATTCTTAAACCCATCTTGATGAACCAGCTGGCTTCACAACTGTGTTGTGTGAAGTCAGGAGGGCTGTGCAAAGGTCTGCCTCTGAGGGCTCTAGATCTTGCCTCAGGCCTTGCTGTTCTTTTGCCTGAAGAATGTAAAATGTAATGCGAGTTTTTATGTATTATTAAACTTATGTCTATAAATTACTGACCCATGGTAGCAGTTTATTGCATATTCCATCTTCTGCTTTGATGCACTGCTGCTGTCACTCCGAGGTGGGTAACGATGACTCAGCTTACTGCTGTGATAATGCACTTAAAGCCTGGAAATCTGTCACTGGTGGTATTTCAACACAGGTGCCATAAACCTGAGATGAAAAATTAAAGTATTTGCTGTCAAGCTATTTCTCTTAAAATTCTTCTGTCTACTGTTGTTTTGTAAGGTTTTGGGTACTGCTGAGTTGTTTAATGGACAAACAATCGTGTTTTAGGAGGTCTGGGATGCAGGACATGCTCTCACAAAAGAAGGTGTTGGTCCTCAGTTTGCAGTGCTGAAGGTGACCTATAAAATGCTTGTGCTCATCAGGCTCTCCTAATAAAGCACCGATATTTGCATGCATTTTTATGACCTAGCATTTCCAGCCTTAAAGCCCAGTGGAACACAGACTGATCACCACATCTTACCATGTATTTTCTCTGTGTTTTTTCTTCTTTTTCACAGCCCTTCTGTATGCTACCATTTTTGGTAATGTGACAACCATATTTCAGCAGATGTACGCTAACACAAACAGGTACCATGAAATGCTGAACAGCGTCCGGGACTTTTTGAAGCTCTACCAGGTCCCCAAAGGACTGAGTGAACGAGTGATGGATTACATCGTTTCCACCTGGTCAATGTCCAGGGGAATAGATACTGAAAAGGTAAGTAAATTAAACTGCAAGGAAAGAAGTCACATCCTGAAAGTAGTCCATTAAAATAAACAGGAGGTACTGTCTTAGTAAAGGAGACAAATATTCTTTAAATAGTTCTAAGCAGCAGCTTCCCTTAATTTTTAACTTTTAAATACAGGATTTCAGCTATTCTGTCATACTGACATATGATAGTGGTAAAAGTATGTATGTTTTGCTAGTGAAATGGTATGAAGTAGTATAAAAGTGATAAAGAGAAAAGCTCAGTTTACTATAAATAAAGGTGATAAGTAAATAACAAGTTCCAGACTGTAACACAACCTCACAGTTTTTCCAAATGAGATTTTTTTTGCAATATTTCTTGTGAGGTTGCTTGCAGCTCTGTGGGCCTGAAAACAAGGTAATTTTTTTTTGTCATTGGAGAGTTTGTAGTATTCTGTGTGCAGGTTAAAGATATTAATGAAAACTGGAAGTATTTAATAACGTATTTTTATATGCTTGAAATCTACTTTGTGTAAGGCAAGCGTTACCATTCTGATTCATTGAATTGACAAATAAATTCCCATTCTGTCTTTTAAAATAACAGATGGCCTTTCACCAGAACAAATGTACAAATGTAGCTCCTTGTTGCTTTCATATTAGTTGCCAATTTTTGTGGGGATAGACAGTTTTTCTTCTGCTTGTAAAGAGATGTGATTTGTGGGGTGGATCATTCAGGAAATCATACCAATGCTCTGGTCACCAGCCTTCTGGTTGGCAGCTTAATTTAGTATTCTGAACCGTGGATGATGCAGTTAAAGAGCAAACAGTGTCATTTCTGTACAGCTGTTACAGCATCATTATGAAGGAGGAGAACAGATGTGGCCTTGCACTGAGCTGCCTGGAGACTGAGGGGCACACAGGGCACTGTTTGCTTTCCTAAATGGTCTTCAGCATCTCTGCCATTTTTAGATCTCAGACATGATTCTGTAAGCACTGTCTGCCATACTAGCTTTCAGAAAGAAATTATATTTTAGTGCTGGATAGCACTGGTTAGAAGCTGTTCTGCATGTTTTCTCACAATCTGTCTTTGTGTGGGGTTGTGATTCGAGGTAGGTGCATTTGGAGAAGGTGGGGAGACATCTGAGGATACATAGTGTAATGAGTGCTGGTGCTTTCATTCAGCCCCCATTACAAACTCCTGTCATCATTTTAACAAAACAACAAGAAAAAATTGCTATGTAAAACATGTTGTTGTTTTTTTTTTTAGCATATCTTCAAAGTTCATTCTTGGCTTCCTTTGATAAGGAGAGAAATGCTTTAAGAGGATGCATTTGGAGACAGCAGAATAACCAAACCAAGCACAACAATACTCAGTGTAGCCTTTGAGAATTATCTTAATAAGCAGGAAAGAAGTCTCCAATTGTCAGGACACCAAAGAGCTTAATACAGTGCTGTTTTCAGTAACTGGTGTGTTCATAGCTGAACTGCTGCTGGCCATGACTGCTAAATCAAGAACTCAGCTTTCATCTGCACAGCAAAAGCAGTGGTTGGCTGTGCCAATCCATAAACTCCCAGGTCTGAGCTCTGTTGTTTTGATGCCTGTGCATAACTTCTGGGATGTTTTATCATGAATAGAACATGTATTGCTCATGAGGCAGAACAGTGGTACTTGTGCTCCTCTGAAAGGCAGTGCAGCTTCCTACAGATGAGGCAGAGATTTAAATATGAACTGAGCACAGAACTGGTCCTGTCACTATTTTGTAGGCCATGAATTAGTCAGTTCAGTGTTCACTGCAAACATGCTAAGTTATTGGTCTAGAAAATGCCACTGCAACAAAATTTAACCAAGAGCTACTGAAAGATTCTAAAATTGATCCATGAAGATACATTTCTTACCTCCCTTACAAATGAAAGTCTTCTTCCATTTATCTGTAGATCTCAAATGTCTTTAATCGCTTTCATTTTTGTGAAGTCTGGAGACAACTTCTTTAAATGGAGAATGGAAAATTGGTTAACTTCCTCTAAGACTGCTATACCAAAAAGTTTTTGGATAATAGCATCATTTCAAATATTCTCTTGTATACTCAGGGGGGTTTGCTGCTATTTCTATTGCAACAACCCTTTTTGTGTGTGATGTCCAGGTAACTGGAAAGTGTGTGTAATTCCAGTAGTAAAATTTGGCAAGAATATGCCACTAGAGAGTATTTTTATCGCCAGAGTAAATGAGATAATGGAAAAGACAGATATGGCCACTGCTTGTGTTCCCTGTTAAATGCTGGCCTTGCTGCCCCAGCTCATTTCTGTGAGCCTGGAAAACTGGGAACTGACAGTTTTGGCAGCTCTTCTGTACAGGGCAGCCAAGAAAAATCATCCCCGAGTGCCCTACACCTAAGCACTATACAAATACATCTCTTTTAAGAAGTTATATCTGTAATAAAATGTCTGTTTGGAAGTGGGCCAAAGATGTTGATATTGGTGGTGGAGTTATTTGCCTTTGGAGTACCAGGCATGATATCTGAAACCAGTGCCATGCACAGAATTAATAGCTTGGTTCTCTGCTCAGGTCTTGCACAGAACCCCATTTCAAAGTGTAGGCATAGCCATAGTGCTTCCTGTGTTACTTTTGTGTTTTTCAGGAGTATTTGCAGTGAGACATCTTTTCTTTCCACCTAGGAAAATGTGTAGGAATAACTCTGAAGCTCAACTGGAGTGCTCCCTAATTGGATGGAGTAGTTATTACTAAGAAAATAATAATGAAAGAAGAGGCAGACTCAGACTACTCGATGTTCCTCTCAAATAATATGTCCTAGACATGCTTCATCATAGACCATCCCCCAAGGATTTTGTTATCCCCAAACCCTGTTCATGTCACTTCTTTCCACTTTTAATCTGCACATGCAGCAGTGATTTGGTATTCTTTCCACTTGGCTGTCCGTATTACATTAAAACCCTTCAGAAACGGCCCTGGCTGGTACCCGCTGTGCTGAGCATCAGCTCCATCAACTCGTGTTCTCTCAGGACCACACATCATGAATTGCCGTGAGGAACATTCCATTTGGGAGATCAAAAGCTGCCCAAAACAGCATCATACCTTAAAGTCCCTTTTCTGTGTAAACAAAAAACTTGTTAGTGCCACTCGGGGGTAAATTTGGATACCTGCAATTCTCAATGTTATGAGTTCATTAAACTTTAAGTAATTTGTTTTAGTTGCTAAAGCATAAGACTTGTGCAGGCTTTTCATGGAATCTGCCTATCAAAAAAATGACCTTCCCTCTAGAAACAATTATTCTGGAAGCTTTTCTTCAACACCTTCTGTACTGCTGGGCTCTAAGTTTTTTTTTTTTTTTTGTCTTAAAAACCTTAGGTCTTCAACATCCAGCAGAACATGTTGCTGAGAGGAAAACTGTGTTTTCCTTCAGATGTTGTAAGGTAGACTAAGTTAGTATTGTTGCTTATAAAAATAAACTCTGAGATTAGAAATGAGAAGGAGGAAAGTGGTTCTTAAACCTTGTGTGGTAACCTAGCCATAGCAGGCAGATAGAAGCCATGCACAGGAGCTGATTGCCCCCCTGGTTTCCCTCTCAGGTTTTGCAGATTTGCCCTAAGGACATGAGAGCCGATATCTGTGTTCACCTGAACCGCAAGGTTTTCAAGGAGCACCCTGCCTTCAGGCTGGCCAGCGACGGGTGCCTGCGGGCGCTGGCCATGGAATTCCAGACGGTGCACTGTGCTCCAGGAGACCTCATCTACCACGCCGGGGAGAGCGTCGACAGCCTCTGCTTCGTGGTCTCGGGCTCCTTGGAAGTGATCCAGGATGATGAAGTCGTTGCTATATTAGGTGAGTTTCAGAGCTGCTAATGTGCATTTGCATAAATGCCAAATATTTGTGTGGCAGTGTTCACAGGGGTCCCAGGACAAGGGAAGAGATGAGAATCTTGACTCCATGTTTCAGAAGGCTGCTTTATTATTTTATGATATATATTATACTAAAATGATATATTAAAATTATACTAAAAGAATAAAAGAAAGGATTTCATCAGAAGGCTAGCAAGCAAAGGAATGGAATGGAATGATAATAAAATCTTGTGACTGACCAGAGTCCGAGACAGCTGGACTGTGATTGGCCATTAATTAAAAACAACCACATGAGACCAATCAAAGATCCACCTGTTGTATTCCACAGCAGCAGATAATTATTGCTTACATTTCATTTCTGAGGCCTTTCAGCTTCTCGGGAGAAAAAATCCTAGCAAAAGGATTTTTCATAAAATATATCCGTGACATATGTGCAGCAATTTATAGCCTCCTCTACTCATTCTTTAAAGAGCTTCAGATAAGTATTTTTTTCCACTGAGAGGTTTAAGGGCAACCATCTAATATCCAGATTGCTTCAACCCTGTTTCATCTGGTCAATGGAAATCTTACTTTTGCATGGGGTCCTGGTCATTCTTGGGGTTTTCCCTGTCTTGATTCCTTCTGTTGGGGAAGATGAAACAGGAAAGCCTTGTAAATATGATTGCCTGGTGAAAGGTTTTGAGAATATGGAAACTATAAGCGAGATTGAAATGAAAGCAAGCTTTGAGATACCTTAGTTACTGAACAACTGGAAAACACTGGTATGGCTGGCTGAAGGTAATCCCCTGTTGATGAAACAGTACCCTCTGCTTGCAGACACGTCCAAGGGTCAGAGCAGACCCTACTAGCTTGGCAGAAGGGGTCCAAGCAGTAGTTTTTAGGGTTTAAAATGTAGCATAGTATGGTAATGTAATGATTCTTATAGGCTGTATGTAAATACTATAGGATTTGTATCTTGTATTAGATTAGTTAGTGAGAATTAGAGTATTCAACACAGGAGAAGATTTATTGTATTGTAACAGGAACCTCGCTCTCTCTCATCCTCTTTACCACGCTCTTGCCTTCTTTCTCTTTACCGCTCTCTTTACCTCCCTCTCCCTCTTTTGGGCCTGCTCTGAGCTGTGGCTGGCAGCTCCAAGCAGGGCCCCTGCACCCAGGCCCTTTGCAATCTCCATCTGTCCTGACCATCCTATCCTCTGGTGTTCCTACACCTTCTAATTAGAAATTCCATGTAGAACTTCAGAAAACTTGAAGTGCCTGGCTTTTCTGCCTCACTCCCACCCTCCCATAATAATCCACTTTTGCTGAAATTTTTCCAGGTGGATTTATTAAGATGTTGTGTTACAATACTTTTTATCTATTTTAAAGTCAAAATAGTTAAAAACATTTAGAGCCGATTTGTGTTAACTTGGGTTGGAGGCATTGAAAATAAACTGATGGGTAGCGAACAGCATTCTGAGGCAAAGCTAACATAAAAGAGTGTGATAATCCAATAGATGTAGATGAATCATGGGGTGGCTGGAGCATTGAGCAGGTGATACTTATCATTTGATTCTGTCAAGCCCTTTTGCGATAAGGTAAATTCTCATGGTGGCTTAATCCTGTAACTGTCACTCATAGCAGCCTGGAAAAAGAGAATAAAACATCTTGGTTATCTTACTTTTTTCTGAACACATACATTCAGCTCTCCTAAGATGAATGTCTACTGAAAAATGAGGGGGCTAATAAATATGCTGAGCTTCATTTTTCTCTACTTTTGAATAGGATTGCTTGTATAACATAGGGTAAATTTAGAGTCATGGAGAATCAAGTTGGTAATACTTTGTGCCACAAAAGAAGCTAAAAAAGTGAGAACTTGGAGGATAACTAATTCCCTTTTGCTCTGGAATCACCTGTGCTGCTCAGTGCTAAGTGACATTTGTAACTTCTGCTTGTCTGTGCTGCACATCAAGAACTTGCTACCTTTTGCCATGTTGAACTCTCATGAATTAACAAATGACAAATGTAGAACACAAGCTAAGACCCCTCAGTTTGTGCACCTTTATGCCACCACCTGAATTCAGCATGAGCAGAAAACCTCAAAACATCTTGCTGCTCTATTTGAGTATGGGTAAAAAAGCACTAAGATCAAATTTCTTTAAAATGTTCTTTAAAGATACCAATTTTCTCCTCATCTTTACTGCTAACTCCTGCATTTTATCATAACACTCACTTTAGAAAACCCTCAGCCAAGATTGCTTGAGGAATCAGTGTTAAGGAAACCTAACTCCTAATCTCTGCTGCTGCAGAGTGATAGCTACAGATAAATGAGGCTGCTCCCTTGGGATCTGGATGAATAGAAGTATTTTGTTGCTGCTCTTCTCCTGGGATGTAACTATCGATCCTCTTCCTACCACCACTTTTTATTTTCTTCTTTTTCTTTCTTTTTCTTCTTTAAAATCTGGAGTCAGTTCCCCGAATCTCACTAAAGTTGGTGAGTTTTATTCACATTTTCTTTGTGAATATTTTAAGTGGAGAGGAAAGTAAAACGAAGTGGGATCTGTTTGGGATTCTGTGAGATTTCATTTTGGATGTGCATCAATTTTTGTGTTTCAGTTTCTGGACTAAGGAATCGCTTTCCTTCCACACTTTTGTGTCCTTTCCTCCTCCAGGCTGTGAAGACTTTTGCTGAAGGTTTCTCTATCCTGAAAAGAAATTACATATTTAACTAAGTTTTTCACTGTTCTAAGTCAGTTGAACTTCTTTTTCCTTGAGCATTGTGTAATCCCCACACTACTGAAGGATATGCCAGGACATGGGTCAGGGTTTCCTCTATAACCTCTTTGTACTCTCAGTTTTCTTATCTGTAGAAAACAGTGGTTTGGGGTGGGGTTTTTTCTTGTGTTATTTTGTTTGTTTTGGGGGGGGGGGGTTTGGTTTTTTGTTTGTTTGTTTTTATTTTCATAGTTAGCTAAATTTGCCAAGTTCTTGATGAATGTATACCAGAAAAAACAAGGCACTACAAGGGGGAAAAAAGTGCATTGTACAAGAAACATGATTTTTGCTGATCACTCAGCCAGAGCAACCTATGCCATAAATTTTGTTTACCAGTCCCAACCAAGCATAGCTGTGAACATCAGGCACATAATAGCAACCCATGTGAGGAATTCCATAGGGTAATTTTAGTTGACAGGTATGTTACAGAGACTGTAATCTTCTTTCAGGCATTCTGGAAATGAAAATGAAAAAAAATAATGCACAAATTATTCAAGGTGAATTATTTGCTCAGCTCTGGCTGTCATGTAATAAAGCAGCTTTTGTAGCTTGCAATGTAGCCTGTATCTTCCTTACAATGGAGAAATGAATTTTAACTCTAAATCAGTCTGTGGGACTGCTATACAGCATTACATAAACCAAAGGCAAACTGTACTTAATGCTTACAGGATCCAATCCATAGGAAACATTTTCGAGTTCTGAAATAATTTAACCTTGCAGACTGGTATATAAGAGTGTATTGTGTAGCCCTGGAGTGTATTGTGTACACTTGCATAATATCCTTCCAAATAATTTCCATGTAATACCCCAGCAACAGGTATATTCTCAGTTCAGGCTTATGTTCTTAGAACAAAGCACTGACTTCGATTGACTTGGATTAATATGAGTCCTGAGTTGGAAGAAATTGCTCATAGGCCAGCAGTGAAAAAAGGTACTTTTTTTATGTGTCCCCTATGATTGCCTTTCACATTAATTTAAACTAAGACACAAATACAAAAAATATGCAAATTAAAAAAAAAACCAACCCCAAACCTTTGCCTGTTTTAGTAAAAATTGAAAGAAATTGGTGCACTTTGTATGAAGTTTGATTTTTTAGGATGAAATATACGTGTTTTGAATTCTATGCAAAATTTATGCTAAAATACAGAAATTACTGATGTTCACACAACACGATCTTTGGATTTGGTGTGTCAAAGAAACAGAAACAAAAATGTAGAAAATGACCTCTCAGCCAGGTGATTGATTTATTTGTGATTCATTCCAATACAAATGAGTCAGAAAAAGACGACTTAGCAGGAAAAGCCACTCTCTTGCTATGTTTTCTATGTTAATGTGTAAGTATGAGAGTGGGATTATGTAGAAGGGAAGTTTAGCTGGTTGGAAGCTGCCTGGATGAGGCACAATAAATTCTGGTTTTGGGAGTTTGCTGTTCTTCCAGTGACGCTGCTGTTGCTGCGTGGGATGAAGTGCTGACGTACACTCAGCACTTTGAGGAAGACTGAGACAAATGACACAGTCCCTGCCCTGAAGAGATCTGAGTGAAACACAGGTCATGCAGGGCTTCCATTAAGAGAATCTTTTCAACTTGGTTTTGCTTTTAACTTTCCTGAGCCCTCACACTTGGCCTGATGCTGCTTTATCCACCTGAGACTGACAGTGTCTCTTTGAACTACTCTTGCTTAAAGACTTAGCCATTTATCCTGATGTGGTTAGAAAAAATAAGAAGGTTTGTTTCCTCTGTTAAAAACATTCAAGTGTTTATGTGCACTTCATTTGGCAGCTCTAGTTTCTCTGTTTTGGAACAGATCTTTCAGGCTAAGACCCTGAACATCTGAAAACCTGACTTTACTGTGGGTCTTTGAAAAGTTAAAACCTACTCGTGCTCAGAAGATTGGCTGTGTTTTAATTATCAATTAACTTCTTAAAAATATTCCTCCTGAATTAACTGTGTTCCAGGCACAGACCATAAGGTCTGACTGTGGCCTTCTTTGGAATATGCAGGGGAAAAGGCACTTTGCTGCCCTCCAGTCATTTAGTCTGAACCTTTTCAATATCTTCTTACCATTGCTTGAACAAGTACTGATTCCTGTGCTATGTCTCCAACTGTGTGTGTGCTTAGATAATTCAATGAAAATTACAGAAAAGAATGTCACTAGCAGCCAAAATAACATTTTGTACGTATTTTCTGGAAATACATGGAAGGACTGGATAGGAGACCTTGTTAGTACC